GAACAACGATGAGTCCACTGGAGCCTTGAACTTTTATTCCATCTCTTCGGATGGTCGCGTCTCCAACTGGTGCCTGGCACGGACGAGCTGCCTAGTGGGGCGATGCATTTTTTGGACGGGCAAATCATTTGGAAAAAAACGCAGTTAAGACACGAACCAGTTGAAGGATGGAGTCACCTTAACATTTTTAACCAGCCGCCCAATACCTGGATTGTAGGTCTAGTGCCTAGGTCATAAACCGAAGAACTTCCCACAACATTTGATCATTTCTGGTGTAATTGACCATTCCAACTCGCAAGGGTCTGAATTTTTGACTTGTTTGTTTCTGACCAAAAACAACTGTTTCCAATTACTCAACCCTAAACCAAAAACATCAAACATCTTAATTGTTAAGCACGAATGTGCAGAGTTTGGTCATGTTTTTCTGTGTGTTTCATCCTTATAGACTATAGGCTGTTTATTAAGACATATTCCATGGTTCCTCAGCTAACTCGCCAACTCGCAGTGTGTCAACCTGTCTCCAGGTTCCTCTTGAAGAACAAATTGGAGAGTGAAGAGGTGATGGAACTGTTCCTTGGTGAGGCAAAAATTCAGATTCCTGGTGTGACTATACAATGGGATAATAATAATGATGGGCAAATCATTATTCCTTGGCTGTGATGTGACTTTTCAATTCGGACAATGATGGGATAATGATGGGTATATAATGGGATAATAGTTAATAGTTCCATCAATGGGAGAATGATTCCCTGGCATACTTTAATATCATAAGATTCCTGCAAGAAAGTCATTATTCCTTGGCTGTGATTTTTTTTCCTCGGCTGTGATTTGACTATTCAATGGGATAGTACGGGAGAATGCTGGGTATATACTGGCCATTTACTGAAGATATGATGGGATAATACTTGGTCAATAGAAAAATGGTGGTTTCTGTACTTGGATCATCCCACACATCGGAACTGCTTTTCCTAAGCCTTTCTTTTCAGTCCGCATTTCTCGGGTTATCCCATCTAGGACTATATAGACGTTACATGACGTTACTGTATATAACCCAACTATGTAACCATACCATATTAATTACTAAAGTGGGGTGAACCAGCCAGGTCAACTCTTGCGTTCCTGGTGATTCTATAGCTATGGTTAGGCCGAATGAATCAAGCTAGCAGAACTTTGTGGATCATCCTGATGCAGTGAGATCACCCAAGAGTCGAATTGTGGTCACCTACAAGGGCCAATTCTTCAGCACATTTGCATGATGACCATCATAATCTATCATAATATATCATGTAAATTCATCAGTTTGTTTGATTATCAGTTTGTTTGATTTTTTCATATCTGTTCTAGGACATCATGGCATATTTCATGGCATATCAACCCCAAGCCCAGGAAACTGATGGGCAGCCCGGGCACGGGCGAAGAAGATGAGACCTCCCTGGCGGGTTTGGCGGGTGGTCTCTGTCGCTTGACATTTTTCCGGACACCGGACAATGAACAACAACTAGAGAATACTAAGAATACTAAAGATCTTAATCCATGTTTAGCTTAGCTTTGGGCTTGAAGAGTTGAGCATTGACCCCGTTCAATGACACACGATTTAGCTAATCAAAGGAAGTTTAGGGGGAGAAACTTCCGTGTTACGGACTTTTAGAATGTCAGGGAAAGAGTTAGTCAAAGAAAGAGTTAGCAAAGAAAGAGTTAGTCAAAGAAAGAGTTAGTCAAAGAAAGAGTTAGCAAAGAAAGAGTTAGTCAAAGAAAGAGTTAGTCAAAGAAAGAGTTAGCAAAGAAAAAGAGTTAGTCAAAGAAAGAGTCAGTCAAAGAAACAGTTAGTCAGGGAAAGAGTTAGTCAAAGAAAGAGTTAGCAAAGAAAAAGAGTTAGTCCAAGAAAGAGTTAGTGAGGGAAAGAGTTAGTCAAAGAAAGAGTTAGCAAAGAAAGAGTTAGTCAAAGAAAGAGTCAGTCAAAGAAACAGTTAGTCAGGGAAAGAGTTAGTCAAAGAAAGAGTTAGTGAGGGAAAGAGTTAGTCAAAGAAAGAGTTAGTCAGGATATATGAGGTAGTCAAAGAAAGAGTTAGCAAAGAAACAAGTTAGTCAAAGAAAGAGTTAGTCAGGATATATGAGGTAGTCAAAGAAAGAGTTAGTCAAAGAAAGAGTTAGTGAGGGAAAGAGTCAGTCAAAGAAAGAGTTAGTGAGGGAAAGAGTTAGTCAAAGAAAGAGTTAGTCAGGATATATGAGGGAGTCAAAGAAAGAGTTAGCAAAGAAACAAGTTAGTCAAAGAAAGAGTTAGTGAGGGAAAGAGTTAGTCAAAGAAAGAGTTAGCAAAGAAACAGTTAGTCAGGGAAAGAGTTCGTCAAAGAAAGAGTTAGTGAGGGAAAGGGTTAGTCACAGAAAGAGTTAGCAAAGAAAGAGTTCGTCAGGGAAAGAGTTAGTCAAAGAAAGAGTCAGTCAAAGAAACAGTTAGTCAGGGAAAGAGTTAGTCAAAGAAAGAGTTAGTGAGGGAAAGAGTTAGTCAAAGAAAGAGTTAGCAAAGAAACAGTTAGTCAGGGAAAGAGTTAGTCAAAGAAAGAGTTAGTGAGTGAAAGAGTTAGTCAAAGAAAGAGTTAGCAAAGAAACAGTTAGTCAGGGAAAGAGTTAGTCAAAGAAAGAGTTAGTCAGGGAAAGAGTTAGTCAAAGAAAGAGTTAGTGAGGGAAAGAGTTAGTCACAGAAAGAGTTAGCAAAGAAATTGTTCCCTCACTGTAAATGGGATTGCAAGTGGTGCTGGTGGAGGAGTTGCCGATGGAGTTTTGCAGAAAGTCTCGCACTAAATGCGTTTTTGAGAGATAGCAGATGCACGAAACCCTATGTTTTTCCATACAAAGTCCGTCCCCGAACCTCGATGATCTACCTCTGCGGTGCGGCGGTTGCGAGACGGTCTCGTGTGTGGTCGGATCATGGTCGGATCGGTCTCGGATCGTGGTCGGATCATGCTCGGATCGGTTCCGCATTGTAAATGGGGTGTCACCTGTGTTTCGTGCATTTGTGATCGACAGAATTCCATTGTGATTTGCAACTGTAGGATCGTTCCCGCAATGTAAATGGGATTGCAAGTGGTGCTGGTGGATGAGTTGCCGATGGAATTCCGTTGTGATTTGCAACTCTAGGATCGTTCCCTCACTGCAAATGGGATTGCAAGTGGTGCTGGTGGAGGAGTTGCCGATGGAGTTTTGGAGGAAGTCTCGCACGAAATGCGTTTTTGAGAGATAGCAGATGCACGAAACCCTATGTTTTTACATACAAAGTCCGTCCCCGAACCTCGATGATCTACCTCTGCGGTGCGGCGGTTGCGAGACGGTCTCGTGTGTGGTCGGATCATGGTCGGATCGGTCTCGGATCATGGTCGGATCATGCTCGGATCGGTTCCGCATTGTAAATGGGGTGTCACCTGTGTTTCGTGCATTTGTGGTCGACAGAATTCCATTGTGATTTGCAACTGTAGGATCGTTCCCGCAATGTAAATGGGATTGCAAGTGGTGCTGGTGGATGAGTTGCCGATGGAATTCCATTGTGATTTGCAACTCTAGGATCGTTCCCTCTCTGTAAATGGGATTGCAAGTGGTGCTGGTGGAGGAGTTGCCGATGGAATTCCATTGTGATTTGCAACTCTAGGATCGTTCCCTCACTGTAAATGGGATTGTAAGTGGTGTTGGTGGAGGAGTTGCCGATGGAGTTTTGGAGGAAGTCTCGCACGAAATGCGTTTTTGAGAGATAGCAGACACACGAAACCCTATATTTTTCCATACAAAGTCCGTCCCCGAACCTCGATGATCTACCTCTGCGGTGCGACGGTTGCGAGACGGTCTCGTGTGTGGTCGGATCATGCTCGGATCATGGGCGGATCATGCTCGGATCGGTTCCGCATTGTAAATGGGGTTTCAAGTGTTTTTCGTGCATGTGCGGTCGACAGAATTCCATTGTGATTTGCAACTGTAGGATCGTTCCCGCAATGTAAATGGGATTGCAAGTGTTGCTGGTGGATGAGTTGCCGATGGAATTCCATTGTGATTTGCAACTGTAGGATCGTTCCCGCAATGCAAATGGCATTGCAAGTGGTGCTGGTGGAGGAGTTGCCGATGGAATTCCATTGTGCTTTGCAACTGTAGGATCGTTCCCGCAATGTCTAGAAGGTTTCACATGCTTCGGTGGACGAGCTGAGGACGTAATACCATTGTGTTTTGCTAGGGATTGTTGCTAATCGCATTGTAATGGCTGCGTGAACTTGCTGCAGCTGGATTCTTTCAGATTTTGCCTGCTTTCATTTTCTATTTCAATTGTTTATAAAAAAACGCTTCAAAAATCAACTTTTTCTGCTCTGGCGTCGAGATCCGGTTTTGGAGCTACAATTTCCGACGCCGTTGCGCGTAGTTCTATTGTGTTTTGCAACTCAGTCTCTGCAGATCGCATTGTAATGGCTGTGTCAAGGTTGCTTCCTGCTGTGGCTGCATTCGTAATACTATTGTCTTTTGCAGCTGGACTTCGTAAATCGTATTGGAGTGGCTGCATGAAGGCTGCCACAGTGATTTGTCAGCAGATTTTCTCCATTTTGGCGCTAATGATTTTCCTTCTAAAAATCCTTTTAAAAAGTGCTTCAAAATCGTCTTTTTTTTCGCTCTGGCGTCGAGATCCGGTTTTGGAGCTACAATTTCCGACGCCGTTGCGCGTAGTTCTATTGTGTTTTGCAACTCAGTCTCTGCAGATCGCATTGTAATGGCTGCGTCAAGGTTGCTGCGTGCTGTGGCTGCATTCGTAATACTATTGTCTTTTGCAGCTGGATCTCGTAAATCGTATTGGAGTGGCTGCATGAAGGCTGCGACATGGATTTGTTAGCAGATTTTCTCCATTTTGGCGCTAGTGATTGTCCTTCTAAAAATCCTTTTAAAAAGTGCTTCAAAATCGTCTTTTTTTCTGCTCTGGCGTCGAGATCCGGTTGTGGAGCTACAATTTCCGACGCCGTTGCGCGTACTTCTATTGCGTTTTGCAACTCAGTCTCTGCAGATCGCATTGTAATGGCTGCGTCAAGGTTGCTTCATGCTGTGGCTGCATGCGTAATGTCTTTTGCAGCTGGATCTCGTACATCGTCTTGGACTGGCTGCATGAAGGCTGCGAAATGGATTTGTTAGCAGATTTTCTCCATTTTGGAGCTAGTGTTTTTTTGTTGCACGTAGGTTTAGAGCAGTGTGAAGTGTGGGGCGTGAAGAGTGCAGTGTGAAGTGTGCAGTGTGAAGGAAGCAGTGGGAAGTGAGAAGTGTGAAGTGTGGAGTGTGAAGTTTAAGTTTGGAGTGCGGAGAGCGCAGTGTGAAGTGTGAAGTGTGAGGTTTGGAGTGTGAAGGAAGCAGTGAGAAGTGTGAAGTGTGGACTGTGAAGTGTGAAGTGTGAGTGAAGTGTGGAGTGTGAAGTGCGAAGTGAGAAGTGTGAAGTTCGGAGTGTGAAGTTTGGAGTGGGAAGGAAGCAGTGAGAAGTGTGAAGTGTGGACTGTGAAGTGTGGAGTGTGAAGTGCAAAGTGAGAAGTGTGAAGTTTGGAGTGTGAAGGAAGCAGTGAGAAGTGAGAAGTGAGAAGTGTGAAGTGTGGACTGTGAAGTGTGGAGTGCGAAGAGCGCAGTGTGAAGTGTGAAGTGTGAAGTGTGAGGTTTGGAGTGTGAAGGAAGCAGTGAGAAGTGTGAAGTGTGGACTGTGAAGTGTGAAGTGTGAGTGAAGTGTGGAGTGTGAAGTGAGAAGTGTGAAGTGTGAAGTTTGGAGTGTGAAGTTTGGAGTGGGAAGGAAGCAGTGAGAAGTGAGAAGTGTGAAGTGTGACTGTGAAGTGTGGAGTGTGAAGTGTGAAGTGTGAAGTGTTGGAGTGTGAAGGAAGCAGTGAGAAGTGTGAAGTGTGGACTGTGAAGTGTGAGTGAAGTGTGGAGTGTGAAGTGCGAAGTGAGAAGTGTGAAGTGTGAAGTTTGGAGTGTGAAGGAAGCAGTGAGAAGTGAGAAGTGTGAAATGTGGAGTGTGAAGTGTGAAGTCTGAAGTGCGAAGTGAGAAGTGTGGACTGTGAAGTGTGAAGTGTGGACTGTGAAGTGTGAAGTGTGAAGTGTGGACTGTGAAGTGTGCAGTGCGAAGTGTGGAGTGTGAAGTGTGAAGTTTGGAGTGCGAAGAGTGCAGTGTGCAGTGTGCAGTGTGAGGTGTGAGGTGTGGAGTGTCGAGGGAAGGACACGGTCGGGACAGGTTGTCTTTGAACTATAGGTCATTTATGTTTGGGAAACTTCCGCCGCCGGCTTGCCCGGGTCTATGTTAAGCAAATGATATTTTGGTTTTACCATCACAGTTAGGTTGTCCACAGATGGTTGCGATAGGGGATCATCCTGTTGATCCACGATGTGGCTTTGACAAACTCTCCGCCATGGGTATATTTGGATTTTTTTGGGAACACTTCGGAACATAATCTCGACATAGACTTAAGATACTTAAGAACTGGTTAAGTTATGATATGTTATGATCGTTATAAGTTATAAGTTATAACCCACATACTAGATGGTACGACCCTGCGAATCAGTTACTAGGAATGAACATCCAAGGGCTCAAATGTGATGTCATGCATATGCATACTGGCTATTACTGGCTGGTGGTTCCGAATATGCATGTTTTGGCATTTTTTTTGTATGACTAGCAAAAATCTCATGTTTTTCAATTGGTTGGAATTACGTGGTCATTGCGGAAATCCGTGTCTCGTACTTACCGGCAATGATCATCGCCATAATCCCTATGATTTTTTGCAGGTATGTGCTGGGTAAACCTTTGATGGGTAACTTAATGTTGAGATGTTATTTGACAGTCATGAACGGGGATGTGTACTATAATGTCAGCCCCGGATTAATAACCCCACTTGATTACTCAGGGAGTCCCCAAAATACTTTGCTGAGTTCTTCTATGCTCCTATGATGATGTGTACCTCCTTATAAATAAACAAGGGATTTTGGCACAATCCTGGCTTGACATTGCAACTTCAGAAATTGCAGGTTATCTACCTTCTCTTTATTTAACGTAGCTGTGGAAATCACATTTTTTCATATCATCATAAATCATCTAGAAATGGGCAAAATCCCATTGCTATGCAAAAGAACCAGGGGATATACATATATATATGGATATATCCTTCATCATTATCTATTATTCATCCATGATTGTTGGTTGTTGTCTCAGTCTCCCATTAATTATATAGTTTCCGATTATTGACCATCACTTGCCCATTATTCACCCATTATCAACTAGGGGGTAATTCTTATCAGCCACTATTAATAGTTATTGATCATTACTAACCACTATTACTCGTTGGTGGTTTAACATTTTTTATTTTCCATGTATTTGGAAGAATCATCCCAACTGAAAAATATTTTTCAGAGGGGTTGAAACCACCAACCAGATTATATATACTTACTCGTTATTAGCCTTTAGTTTCCCATGAGTTTCTCATGACAATTCACCACTAAATTCACCACATTTCACCCTTATTTTCTCATGATTCCCCCATGAGTTTCCCTTATGAGTTTCCCCACCAAGCAAAGGCCATGTTTTTTCCCGGCCCCCTGGGAATTTCCTCGAAATCGCACAAGCCACGGTGGATGATGGTCACCATTCTCCATGGATGAACCATCCATAAACCTGACGTTAACCATGATGTTAACCTAAATGATTAAAATGGAGATCTTTATTGTTAACCATCCATCATTCGCCAATTTTTGTTGACCTAAAGCCATCCATCTTCGAAGCCGAGGCTTCGATTTCCATTCCCATAGCGACCATAGCCATCTCTTCCTGGTGGGCACGGAGGAGGGTCGCATCCACAAGTGCTCCAAGGTGGGGCCTTCCGGGGCACCGGTTTCAGGGGCCTTCCGAATGATGGAAAATGCGGGGGAAACATGGGAAAAAGTGTAGGAACATGATAGGAAAAGCCATGGGAAAATGGCATGTTCCTATGGAAAGCAATAGGAACCATTAGGAAAATTATAGGACAATTATAGGAAAATTATAGGAACATATTTTTCCATGGGCTTTTCATAGGAAAACTACAGGAAAATTATGGAAAATTATAGGAAAGCCCATCGAAAAATAGCAAATCTATGGAAAAAGGAACTATATATTATAGGAAAATTACGGAAACCTATGGAAAACTAATTATGAAAAACTATGGAAACACACAGAGAACTACAGGAAATTCGGAAAAACTATGGAAACACATGGGCAACTATAGGCTATAGGACAAATTACGGAAACCTTTGGGAAACTATAGGAACAATTATGGAAACCTATGGAAAATGATGAAAAAAATACAGCATTTACGAATGAGAATTGTTTATCTATAATCTATAAATAATTACCTATGAAACACGGTGATTTTCCGTAGCAAACTCTTAAACTATCGCATGGTATATGATCTATGTGGTGACCGATGAACGGAATTAATCGTCCCAGACTTGGTTGAAGGGGAAATGTGCAGGGTTTATATCTGGCAAACATCGTGTCCGGATGTGTCCGTTTTTTTTTTGCACAACAAATTCCATGATGAAACATATGATACATATGTCACAGTTGTGATTGGGATGATTGGCTAAGGTATCTAAGGTTCAGGGAAGCCATTAGAAACCTGGCCCTATTTGGTCCTACACCAAGTTTGTTTTTCAACCCGGACAGCTCAGGATCATGGACGAAAAAAAAGGTCCGTACGCACCCAGTTGAGGTGTTTCGATATAGCCTTGGAGAATGCATCTCCATGGAAACTAACATGGCTATGGAAAATCAATCATTTACATCTTTTTATTTATATATATTTATTATAATACATATATATATATATATATAGATATTCAATTTCCACAATCAATAGATCAATAGATTTCAATATCTACAATTATCTACATATTTCCCATAGTATACCTATTGGAACACTGATATTCCCACAGATATCCATAGCTGCCACGCCACTCCCTGGTGAAGCATCCCAGTGGATTTTACAGAATTGGGATCTCGCTGACTTCACAACTTGTATCAACGCAACTCAATTGGAATCATGTATGCATAGGTATATATATATATTATGTATAACTATAATTAACTATATATATAACTATATATATTTAACTATACATATAACTGTATATTACTTATATGTATGTATATGAATATATATATATAATTATATATATAATTATATATATAATATAACATATGTGATTATATATATATATGCATATAGGTTGCTAGATGTATAAGATAGCTATGTTGAAACCATGACTGCAATCCTCCCAGTCCATCGGTTATCTCCAGGCCTTCAGTGGCCAGTATTTGGAGACCTATGAGGGCCACACCATGGCGGTCTATAGCGTTCGTTGGAATCCGTTCCTCGGCGGAAGCCGCAGCTCTGAAAGCATGGGGTTAACATCACCATTTCTTAGTAATTATCCACTATGGGGTACTGGTAGTTTTTTGACGTTTTTTGGGTGTCTCTGTTCTGGTGGATACATGGCGGGGGTATGCTGAGCGTAGATTTATAGCTGTATTTGTACCGCAGAGCAGTTAAATCGATACAATAGAATCAATAGACAACTATTTGACGATTTTTTGCGGAAATGGATTTCCGTATGATCTTCAAGGAAACTCCTGTCACAGTTGTGTCAACCCCAAAACCCTCGCCATCGGCTTTTAAATCCCTTTTCCGACCCTTCCAACCCATGAAGCTCCCCATAAATCCCTTGCAGAACGCGGACCCAAACAAATGGAGTTTTCCATAAATGGGGGAAACCCAAAATGCATAATTAGTTTATAATGGAGAATCCTACTAAAATGGACCATTTTGGGGTACCTCCATTTTAGGGAACCTGACTCCATTTTGGGGATCCCATACCCTCTGGTATTTGTCACATAGCTATTGAAAATGGCCATAGAAATAGTGGATTTACCCCTTCAAAACGGTGGAGCTCGTTTCGCTGGAGGTTCCACGAGAAGATCTTCATCTCGGCCTCCGCAGATTGGACGGTGAAGCTCTGGAACCACGAGAATCGCTTCGCCATCCTCTCCTTCGACCTGTCACAGGCCACCTGGCGGACCTGGCGGATCCTGGCGGTGACAGGGTGAAAGGATGAAACGAGATGAGACGATGAAACGAGATGATAACAGGAAAAGGTGAAACAACATGGGGGTTGTAAGTGTCAACTTATAGGCTTAGTATGGCTTAGTGCTGATAAACTCACCAATTCGCCTGATCTCGTTTGATAAACACCATGTTAGGTACGCCCAAGACAGTCAAAGGGGACTCCCCAAATGTGGATGTTAAACTCAATGAGCATTTCAGGCTTTGCTTCATAGAATGCCGATTTCAGGATGAACCTGCAGATCGCAAATGCGTTCAATCTATAATTTATGCCATTTGAATTTACCAGATACAAATGCAGCTCTCGGCCCTCGCCTGATTATGTACCATAGTTTGCCACAATTCGAGTGCACGATGCGTTAATCCACAATCTTCCAATCACATGTTTTGACTATGCTGTTGGCGGGCCACGGGTTTCTCAAACTTGGGTGACCGTGTTTGTGTTTCACCCCTGTTCAATCCCATTAAACCACCCGTTCATTCCGAAACAATGCCATGTTCCATCCCCCAGTCATCATCATTTTTATAGGTGGTATGCTTACCATTTTAATCCCTTCCTCCTAATACTAAACCCCCCCCCCCCTAATACAAAACACGGCAGGTAGTTTTTAGTATTAGGGGGGTATTTATTATTAGGGAACCAAATCGAAGTCATGTTAATTAATTAATTAAATTTCCTTATATAACGCAATTAAAATATTGCCAAAAATGGCAGTTCGAAGCTTACCCCTAATACTAAATTAAAACCCTTAATACTAAAAACTATTTTTTCCGATCTCAAAATCAATTAAATTTCCTTATATAACGCAATTAAAATATTGCCAAAAATGGCAGTTCGAAGCTTACCCCTAATACTAAATTAAAACCCTTAATACTAAAAACTATTTTTTCCGATCTCAAAATCAATTAAATTTCCTTATATAACGCAATTAAAATATTGCCAAAAATGGCAGTTCGAAGCTTACCCCTAATACTAAATTAAAACCCTTAATACTAAAAACTATTTTTTCCGATCTCAAAATCAATTAAATTTCCTTATATAACGCAATTAAAATATTGCCAAAAATGGCAGTTCGAAGCTTCCTAATACTAAATTAAAACCCCTAATACTAAAAACTAGCCCCCCTAATACTAAACACCCCGGGATGAATTAGTTTTTAGTATTAGGGGGGAGAACCCACAAATGGTAGGTTGATTTTTGAATTGTTTTTAAAGGGGATCAATTAAAAGTCAAATTGGCCAAACTGAAATTTTCGGAAATTGGAGATGGATGCCTGTTTTTAGTATTAGGGGGACGTTTAGTATTAGGAGGAAGGGATTACCCAGATGATATGGGATACCCTCTGGTAAACATACAAAAAAAACTCTGGAACATCACCATTTTATAGCTGGGTAAAATCACCAATAGAAGATCATGTCAATGGCCATGTCACCAATTTATTAGAGCTACCTACCATATAATCCATATATGTTTGGCCTATTTTTCAGGCCTAAGGGAATATCCCCACAAAATATGGTACAGTAGCTCCATTTTGGATCCTGAAATTCCCAGTGATTTATATACCTGGTAATTTGTGACATAGCTCCATAGGATCCCGACATTCCCATGGCTGGTGATCCTAGGCCATTGGAGACGTGGCCTGGGCTCCCTATTCCTCCACCACCTTCGCAGCCATCACCTCTGACGGCGCCGGGGGATCCACCAGTGGCGTGGTGCACGTCTATGACCCTTGGACGCCTTGGACGATTGGACGGCTGCGTTGTGAAGTCCACGGATGGGGCCTTATTTGAGCCTATGAATTCCACAGAACAATGGCTTACCTCAGAGTTATGTATAGTATATAATCGCATAATAGCACACACACACATATATATATATATAGATAGACGGTATATATAAGTTATAAAACATCTACTTGGATTCAGATCCAAGTTGAGATGGGGGTTCAGGCGTGCATCGGACGAAGTCATGGTGCATTTTAAGCCATTAAAAAATGGCGATTTACCCAGTCAACATCATGGATTGGATAGTCGCACACAGTGATTTTGAGTGTTGTTTTTTTTGTTTAATGGATTTATTTCATGTCCCACTCAAACCACTCAACTTTTGGCAGGGACTCATATCAAACCACCAAGAAGCCCAGAAATTTGGTGATTGAACTGATCAAATTGCGGGATTTGACCTTCAGTGTGCAGAAATCACCCAAGATAGGCCAAGATAGATATGCCATACATGGCACTGATGGGCAAGATGATGACCTTTGTGGTTATCACCTGCTATCCATCTGAACACAGGATTTGTCCGTGAACCGCAACGACCACATTTGCGCGCAGAAAGCTGCTGGTCATGGAGGGTCGAGTACGGGAACTCACGGCTTTGGAGCCCATTGATGTTGATCACTTCTATCAAGTATTTCAATTGGGAAAGGATTATATATATATATATAGTGTGCGTATACATACATATGCATACATATACTATATATATATACTATATACTATATATATACATACTATATACTATATATATGATGTATATTTAGTTATTTATATGATATATATATATATATAGTTATATTTATGATATAGTAATATATATATATATAGTTATACATAAATAAATGAATGAATAAATTATATATATATATATGTATATGCTATGCAAATATAAACTATATATACAGCATATACCATATATATATATATATATGTGTGTATGTACTAGAGATATACTATATACATGCTACATATACACTATATATATATATACACATACACTAGATCGTATATATATATATATGTGTGTGTAGTTTTCTTAATTAATACATATATATATATTATTATATACTAATATATATATATATATGTATATATTTGTGCGTGTTTTTCTTTCCTGACTCAATGCTAAGTGAGTGTTTCGCAGCATGTTGCATCTAAACATGCCACGAAGCCAGGCTGTAGGCTAGCCTAGGCAGGCCTTGGTAGCCTTCGCCCAGGTCGTGAAGCGAGCGAAGCTCACGCATGTGGCGTTCAGCAAGTCTGAACCCATCATCATCGTGGGCGATGATCGTGGAGGGGTCACTTGTTACAAAAATGGGAACCGCTGGCTGCCATAAACAACCGTCATGACTGTGGATGGTTGAAATGCCATCAAAATGCTGATTCTGGGGATGGTTTATGGCTTTGGGGTGTAGCCACGGGAAAAATGCGGACCAATGCATTTCATAGTTCTTCAGGGTTCCCTTTGACATCCTTTGACCGGAAGAAAATTGCACCTATGGATCCTTCTGCGACCTAAGGTAGGAACCTGAAGAGTTGTGTCTTTGCCTTACCCCCAAAGCTAGGGATATTGGGTGTATAGTTTGTTTAGCATGGTTGATGCTTAAAGGATGCAAAACCCCAAGTTTTGACGGTTAAACTACGTGAAGCCCCAAGTCTGGATGGTAAAACCCTGAGTTTTGATGGTTACATCCAGGACCTGGAAATCTTCCTGCCCGGTGAAATGGGGTCTCCGAGGTGAACACACTGAAGCTGTCCCCCAACTTGCGAATCGACGTGGTTAGGCCTGCTTGGTTCAAAGGGGGCAGGAAAGCACTGACATTCAGGATTTTACAGAGATTTTACAGTGGTTCAGTGAGTTCGGTTGGGTTTAAGGTGTTTTAAGTTCAAACAGTGATATTAATTGATTTTATAGTGGTTTGTTTTTCCCACGTCTAATCCCAAAATTGGGAAGTCATGGGGATATTCATGAGGGCATACCCTCCGGAAAATCACTATCTCTCAGGATCTCTTAGGTAAGTAATCTGTAGAAGGTCCATTCTATGATTTCTATGTTGAATTACCAGATGGTAGTAAAATGTAGTAAACATAGACATAATATGACATAATTATTATGGCAATGAACATATGTTTGCATTTACATGATATACATCCGTAAATGAATCTAGAAGAGATTGAAATAAATATAAATATATATATATAGTGAATTTGACATGTCTGACATTTCCAGATTCATTCCAAGAAGGTACAGTGAACAGTCGTTTTGCTGGTTGTTTTTTTGGCTGCTTCAAGTGCTGTCGGAAGTCTAAAGTCTAAAATGTTGCTCTTTTGCAGGGGGATGCAATTTGCACTTGTGAGATGTACCTTGTGATGGCTATTCATGGTATTGAGGTATACCAACCAATAACAATTCGAAATTGGGGTTGCTGATTTTAAATTTGGTGATTTACCTTTGCGACAAGCTTGGGCTGGCGACAAAGTTTGACGCACACGGTGACCTGAAATGATGGCCAGATATGCTTCACATTGGTGAAAAATGTGCAACATGGCAACATGGCGTCACAATCCAAACCATAGTTTATTAATATTTGTTATTAAGAGTATTTTTCCACTGATATCTCAGCATGATCCAAATCATAACTTATCGTTTTATGAGGGGTGCATCAGAACTGATCAGAACTGTTCACAACTTAGCACAACTTTGGGTGATTTATCCTAACTTCTCCCGCACTTTGAGACCTTGCAGTGCTCCACATGCATGGCGTCCCGTCCCACAGGACAGATGAGACAGATCAAAGCCTCAGCGTTGCTTGGATGCATGGATGGTCCACCACCAGAAAGGGACACCGAGACGCTTTATGTTGCCATCGGAACCCGCAAAATTCTTCAACAATCTTGGGATAAGACAACAAAGCCAACGCCAAGAATCGACATTTCAATACATGTCAAAAACATCATACATTTCATAAACATGTCATAATATACATGTCACATTTCTTCGACCTATTTTCCCATCTTCACCTGGCTCTGTAGGACATGGACATGCAGCTGCAGAAGATGGAGCACCTTCTGGAGATGGTCACGGAGACCAAGACCACCTCCTGAGGTCGCGCGCCCAACGGCGCGCCGCTGACGAGACTTTTTGGCGGAGTTTGGTCGGGCGCAGTGGTTGGTAATTGTTGGACATTTACTAAAACAGCTGAGCAACAATAGAATGGAAATCCTTTTTTATTGCCTTTGTGGTAAAGTTTGGACATATATGGAAATGTGATTTGGGAGTCTAATTATCCACTGTGATAAATTTACCAGAAAGGTTTAAGGTCTTTTAGGCAAGATTTAGCCAAGATTGTTATACAGTATAATTACATATTGTTACATATAATATATATATACACATAATTTATTGTATACGTACATGCGCCACTTTTCTTGGTTAACTAGAGCATCAACGGTGATGTTGCCAACCAACCCTGGCGGTATAACCACCAGTACAGCATTGCTGATCATTTTTTGGTGTTTGAATAGGAGTCTTTCTTAACAATTCTGATTGGAATTCTTGGCACATAATGTTGAATTAAACATGCTGTTGTTTCTGACTGAATCCAACAGTTGGGTATGGACATCCAACAAATTCAACAGAGGATGATCATACAATAATTAAAATTATTATTATTTATTATTATATATATATTTATTTACAACCAGAGCAATCAAGTTCAATAGACTAGACAAATGCCATGGCCGAAACATGTGATGAAACCAATTTCAGGCAGTAGCAACCTTCAGATAAGGTCTATCCAGTCAGCAAACAAAGCATGCATCCATATCGGTACACATGCAGATATCGGTAACAAATGACTAACAATGGAAGTTGCTCCAAACGGTAATCTTGTCAGCGGCGCGTATCATACCCCAGCTGCAGAAATCATATACAGAGGCCATAGAATTGGCCCAGGTTGGGGGTGTGGAGTAGTTGTCTCACCCGCCGTTGTCCGAGACATGCCTGATACAACTCGCTTGGCACGTTTGGGGTTCTGGTATGTGGTACTGTGGTACTAGGGTTTCAAAACCCATGTGTTTGACATTCGTGATGTACCTATATGTACCTGTTTATTTAATATTGCAGTTGCCTAACTGAATCAGCTGAAATGAACCAACCAAATTTCTGCAAGAAAAACACACGGGCAGCGGCCAGCTCCAGAGGAGAGCGCGGTGCAGTGAAGGTGTCCAATCAGCAGGTCGTGTAGGTCGATTACCGTTGAAACCATCTCGAAGTGGTTGTTGCTGGTCGGGTTTACCGCATTGCAACCACACATTTCTGGAAGTAACTGCAGGTTGTTCCATCCAAGTAAATTGTTTGTGAGGGTCCATTTGCTTTGCGCTTGCAAGTTATAAATATTATATATATATGTATGTTTTTGATAATAGTCGATGTCACTGAAAACCCCTTTGTGTTGCTTATGTACTCCAAGTGGTTGGACATCTTACCCCAATCCTTGACGCTCAGATTGCCAAGTACTCAGCACTGGTACTGTTTAGTCATCCTGGAGTATGTTAAGATATACTGTTGGGAAATAACCATCAATGGAGAAGGCAGCAATTTGAAATACAAAATGATGAATATCTTCTGCAATCCGAGACTCGAGACTATGACATCTTAGAGATCGTTATGCAATTCGCTGTGCTATAGTACAGCCTCTTTATGGTTGTCATTACATGTAGATTATTGTGGAACAAAGAAAAAAGTCCTTGAATGTCGAGCAGGTGTTGCACGTTATTTGACCACATGACATTACATATTATTCATACATATTCCATGTAATCTGAGATTTGCTTGAAGGGAAAATCTCTAGGAAACCCCTATATCTTGAGTTAAAACGGTGGTTTCATCCGACTGATAAACATCATTGTTGGCTATACATTCTATTCTTTTGCATTCCATTACATCACATAATTACATACATATTCATACATATGTATATAATATATATCATACACATCTATATTATAACTTATAGTTATACTATATATGTGTTTATCACAGAAAAGTTATTACAGTCGTAGCCTAATATTTCCGAGCACCTTCGCGGCCCCGACCGGTCCCCCCTGGTGACTCTGACTGTTTCACCTGCTGCGGCACGACCGTGGTGGTCTTGAAACAGGACTGGCACTGTGGGGGGGGAGCACCAATGTTTACATACTGGTTAATAATGGTTAATAATTAATAATTAATAATGATTAAGAATGGCTATTAACTACTTCGAACAATCCCTTTTTGCGCATATATATATATATATATATAATGGTTGTAATGGGAAAATGATGGGAAAATGATGGTCATGAATGGGAAAATAATGGGGAAACGACCCACATTCATGGATGAATGAAGAATGGAGAATGGAGATATACCCTCATGGTTATTTAACAGTTTGCTATGGAAAATGATTGATTTATACAATGTGGGGCCCTCCAGTTATAAATTGGTTATAGACCCCATCAACTATTAACAGGTATCATAAACCATAGTTATTGGAGTTATAAACCAACGTAGCTATCTAGGGGATCCCACATTGTAGATTATGAACCTATTAAACATGGTGATTTTCCATAGCTATTTTGACATAACCAGAAGTCTTCAGATGGTGAGCCCAGTGCCATAACCATCGCTGAATCGCCATCGAAGGTCAACCATTGGTTGGAAACCCCCTATCATTGGGGAAAACCGTGGAACACCTGAGCCTTTCAGAAACCCAATCTGACATAATCTGACTCAACTATCTTTAAGACATCAGTTGTACGAGGATGGGATTCGCCAGAGTTCGACCCCACAGAAATTGAGGGTTTGGGGAGGTGGATGGGTAGCTTCTGTGGGTCACATGGACATGGAAAGAACATGAAAGAAGGCGTTGGGCCGCGCCTGTCTGCTTGGAATACCACAGTTCAATCAGGCTCAATGGGTCAATGATGGGCGCTTCATTCGTGCATGAAGATTGCACTCCGGATGTAATGTCAAAGATAAATACGTAATGAATTACACAACGATTTACAAGTATTGATGTAGTTTTTTTTAAAGCATTACTGGTGCATGTAAGGCCCACGTTTCTCCGTTTCTTCCTATTTGTTGTTGATCCTTCTTGGAATTTCTGGCAGTGCCCTTCCCAGTTGCCTCACTGCAGGAGCCTTGATCCCATTGGAATTTGCCTGCAATGCCATTGGCAAACTTCAGAAAAGAGCGCAGGGCGGGCTGCAGGGCTGCAGGTTTTTCTGTGCTGGTTGCTGGTTTCATCCCATTTGACTTCTTTTGATGATGGGGGAAAGCTCAACTCCCAGTGTTTTTTCCATCCCAAGGTTGGTTTGAGATGTTTGAATTTGGAGTTTGAAGATGATGCAAGATGGCGAATTTTGGCAATTTATCTATGGGGGAATGGATGATATTCCAAAGCATGGGAATGGGAGTAACCTATGTCCACGCAACGTCGCTAGGGTTTGGACCCATATGATCTCTTCAGATCCAAAAGCTGCGGAAAGGGAACGAGTGGACCTTGCAAGGCGGTTGTCAACCACTTGCCTTATCTTGCCCTTCCAAGTTTGATTGATTATACTGACATTTTGCTTAGTCAAATAACTCAAAATTGCAGCCCTGAATCCCGTGTTTATTCCCGTTGTTGATGATACGAATCGATGCAATGCATAATGCATCCGTATTATCCTCAATTAGAGTCCATATTCTTGATGGTTAAATAATGTTAAGTATTGTTAAGTCCTATCAGTATCCATGAAATGCAACTTGACCATACTTGACCACCAGCACACAGCCTTGCCGGTTCCGCCCCCAAGTATTCTTATCGGCCAGGTAGCAAAGACCTTGCCAGAGAACCCAGAAAACTGGTCAGATTCCCCCCTGGAGGTTGGCATAGCCCCTGTTGATTTAAGCCATTTAACCATCAAAAATGGTGACTTGTCCATCAAAAATGGTGGATTCTGGAGATAAAAGGTGGTATAGCCACCACCCGCCATGGATAGAACATCTCTTGGAAAGCTGGAAGCTATGGGGGAGATGTCATCGAACTATCAATTGTGTGGAATCCACAATAAAACATTTGCAATGTATTTTATTATCAGGCATACTGCGGCATACGCATACATTGGTGATGTAAAGTAGCATAAAGTAGCTCTAGGATGCTCTATACCTTCAGTGGGCCCGAATTCTCGAAATCCAATACAGAAATTCATTTTGGAAAGGGCACCCTTCAGGAAACTAATATAACAATAGTATAGATGGTCCATTGAGTTCGACAATGATGAAAAATGTGTCAAATGACACTAATATAGTTCGATGATTTCCCATGCATTCCCAATGAAACATGATGTTCCCTGGTTCTGTGCATCTCCGGCACCTGGGATCCCCCCCGGAATCCCCTGGTATTTTTTGGGATCGCCTGGGTCCAAGGTTCCAATTCCTGGCGGAGAAACGGCAGTGGTTCTGTCAGGATCCAAGTGCTGAGGGCAACTGGGAGGACTGGTCCCGACGGTCCCGATCTGCTGAGCTGTGGGCGCCGGGCAGCTGGGATCCGAAAAAGAACAACTTTTCTGCAGATTCTGTTGACAAAACCATGGAAGACAACATGAAAAGTGAAGATCAATCAGATAAATGGGAATGGAAAAACATGGAAAAACGGATGAAATGGACATGAAAATCATGAAAAATCACATTGAATCACATTGAATCACTCTGAGGGACGACTTGGGGCGCTGCAGAGTGGCAATCACCAGATTTGACATGGAAATTCTTGGTGTTTTGAGAAACAGAGCTCTGTGGAAGTGGTTCCCCAATGATCAGCACCAAACACTTGGGATTTCGGCATATTTCGATATATTTCGCATTTACATTTTGCATAGTTGTGACAAAACACTCCCAGCTCTCTTTTTGTTGGTCACATCACATAATTTGAGTATATTTGAGTCATATCCCTCAGATTGGTTGGTCACGTCCCTGGTTTCGATGGTTTTCATTCCAGCAATCCAAGGTCGCAATGGCGAATGCTCATTTTTTTTTATACACATAGTCGATTATTTAGGGAAAAAAACGCATTGAAACATGTGTTTTTCCATTTGCGGTGACCCCAATGTGCTTGGACCCAGCCGGAGGATATTCCTGTGGATGCCGTGGACTA